CCGAAAAGGCCCCCCCCCCCCCCCCCCAGCCAAAAAAACAATGATTGTAAGAGTCCAAAACCCACCTAGGGCATTTGTTTCATGGGTTTAAGGTGAATTATCGGGTGAGATTGATAAAAAAAATTGTCCCGAGATCCCGCATAAACTATGTTTGGTTCATTTTAAAAGAATAAAGATTAAACAATTGGGTTAATCCCGGCCCAATATAAATAATATATTTTAACCCATATATGGGATTTGATGAAACCCATGAGGGGTGCTCAAAAGTGAGAGATGAAGTTGATAAGTAAAAATACTACTCTGCCCAAAAAGTAAAAACTCTCTTCATTTCGCCTACCAAAGAATATTTTAAACAATTGAAAAATATATGAACTCACGAGCCCTGCATGTATTTATATCGCTTACCTATTAACACGGTATTGAAAAAAATTTATTGTTTGAATCCTATGTATAAATCCTTGGGGTTGAGTTTGAAAGGGTTTCCTGCAACAATCCAATACCCTTCCTCAAAAAAAAAAAACCATCCAAACATGCCAGAATAATCTAGCCCTCCACCCAACAAACAGGTTAGTTTTGCTTCACCCTTCAACTCATTCAGAATATAGAGATCGTCAGAGGATTTGCGTTTTACACCATGAAACGAAAACCACCTATTTGATTCCCTGTGGTTGGAGTGGTCTTTCCTCCAACAACAATATCAACGAAGTAATTCCANCATGAAACGAAAACCACCTATTTGATTCCCTGTGGTTGGAGTGGTCTTTCCTCCAACAACAATATCAACAAAGTAAATCCGAGAAAGCAATCTTAAGACATGAGATTCATACGTCAATTGTTGTCTACATCCGATACTTCCTCGATGGACTTTTATGGGACGTAGCTTCCCTGACAATTGTGTTCAGCAAACAGCCATTCCTCCGGAGACACTCTTCGACCTACGAAGCCTGTCTGGCGGTTCCACCAAAACGCCACCCCATTATCGCCTATAACCTCCAGAAACCAAAAGTGATATGTACAGGTATTTTGGAAACTCCAAAGCAGTAGGCATAAAAAACAACATGATGGAAAATCAAAACAAAATAGTAACAAAATTCAATTAATAATATGATAAATTCGGTCACGATATAAAGCAACAAAGTATATATTAAATGTCCACCTGATGCACAAGCCTCCCACTATTACATTTAGTCAGCATCAGATGTATGCAATTTTACCCCGCATGTAAAGACTCCTGATTTTGCAACTTGAATCATTTGTGTTATAATATAATAAAACCACTTTACTGCCACGCTGAGAACCACCCTCCAGCAAAATATATACATTCAACTACGAAATTGCAAGTGCGCTCATATTGATAAAAGTTTGACCAAAGACGATTGGCCATCTTCCCAAGAAGGGACCAAAAAATGAGATCCAAAAACAGCACCTGATGAACACCACTGCAACGGAGAAAAAGCCTCCATCAGCCCATCTTTGCCCTTGAAAAGTCCATCTCCGGATGCTGAAACGTGCAAGTATCCAAATCAGTAGACAAAAACTAACCAAGGATACAGGACAAATAAGGAAAATTTCATGTGCACACTTAAATTGTCATAACTTCAGAGACAACCCTTGCACCATCATCTAAATTTCACTAAGGCCCATATTTTCCGGATAACACTGGCAACAAAAAACAAGCTTTTAAATTTATGCCCCAAAAATTACATACAAACAAACAAAAGAATCACATTAAGTCTTTCCTCCCTAAATATTTAATTCTTCCATTTCTTTAAACAAAGCTGAGGTTTATATAATCCCATGTCAATCCATAGATTTCAAGTAATATCCTTGAAAAACTTTCAAAACTGAGGCTTTTCAAAAAAATGAGCTTGAGTGGTGGTGTGGTGTTTCATAGGTAATGACCATTTTCTGGTGGGTGATGCCATTTTTGAAAGGCTAGCCACCCTTGTCCCTTTGGGGACGTGCTCTAGATCAACACAAGACACGGTGCCCAACCGTTAAGCTCAAGAGAGTAGTCGACATAAGTCTGGACACCTATAGCAAAAAAAAAAAGAACTGATTAAATGGGTAGTGTTAGTATTCAACACCTATTTCAACTATGGTACACTCTCTCTCACTCAATTGGTTGCATGGTGTTTGATCAGCTACTGTGTGTGCAGTAATAGTGCGACAATATCTGAATGGTGGTCGTGGTATGTGTGCATTCACACATGCATGGTGGTTTTGTGAACTGTTAGTGGGTGGTTGTGATTTCACGCATGGTGGCATGCAGTGAAGGTTGTATGTGCACTGGTAGTCGTGGTAGCTGTGGTCTGATGACAATTATGGCGGTCACCTGAAACTGACACTTTAACCAAAAATAAAGATAGTTTCATTTTGACAGAATACAGAGGGAGTTTGTTAAGTGCAACCTTTATGGAGTGATTGAAATGTTTCCAAACAACATAGACATATACACATATACACACACACACACACACACACACATATATATAGAGAGAGAGAGTTGAGTGTTCACCTCGGCCATGAATTTCTTCAAAATATCTTGTTTCTGCATCTCATCACTGGTTGGTAGGCCCATAGACTTTTGTCGCTGGTCAAACTGGGACAAAAGGTATCATGGTGTAAAATGTTAGAATCTTGAGAAATAAAAATTGGAAATGTATTCAGTGACATATTTTAAGAACATCATGCATTCCACCAATCAACATAGACAACGCAGTCATGATACAAACCCAGAATAGATTAGAAAAGGCCTTAGAGCCCTACCATCATTTTCTCCACAGTTGATCGGGTTTCGGGGTCCAGATCAGCTAGCTTGCTGCTCTCAGGTTCTACTTTTTGAGTATCAACTTCAGGATCCCCCTTCACCAAACACTTCCACCATTCCATTTGGTCCTGCTTAGTCAGAAGAACAGAGATAGTTTTTTGATCCTCTGCAAGAAGAACAAGTTTTCATACAAGATGTATATCCGTGAGCATCTGCATCAGAATTCCTGAAACTAGGGATGCCAATTTTAGACATGACAAGAAGCCAACATGACATCAGGTTAGAATTGACTAGTTTCCAGCACGAACCCAAAAATGATACAACCCGTTAACATGAATAATAAACAAATCAAGCTGGTGCCAAAGGCGAATAACCCAATTTTGACACGACCCATTTAAGTAGCATTGTACAAAGAAAATGTCTTTTTTTTTTTCCATCTTTCCATTTCTTGAGCAGGTATTGTGTGACTCTGGTTGCTATCAGATGGATTGAGTTGATTTTATTACATGGAGGCTTATGGATGGTGGGTTAGGTTGAGAAAGGAGGTCCTAATATTGCGTTGGCTTCCAGGTTATGTATGTCAATCCAAACACATCACAATCAGTAAACATGTTGGGCTAGTATCATGATATTGGATAGCGATTAACTAAATGGATTATATAAGGTCGAAACAAACCCAAAAGGAAACAACACAATTCAATTGCTACCTCTATTGGGAAATGGAATCACGTAAAGTTGGTGAAAATATAATGAAGAAAAATAAAATTATAAAAACCCCTCAAGAAAAAAAATTTGAAGACACGGCCTATTAATATGAATGAAGTCATGCCCAACATACAAATAATCTACCAAAGTACCAATTCCCAAACTAAAGGAATTACTAAAAGACCTACCAACTCCCTAAGTATTGCAACCTGCAGTAAATATGCATGGTTACAAAGTACCACACTCGACGGCCTAAGATGATTCTCAGTAAGCTACTGTATTAAACTCTATCAGTGTGTAAACATACCTAGGCTCCAATAGCAATCATCAGGCTTGACAGGTTTAAAGAACTCCCCCTGCAAATATGCGAACAAATATGGAGAGAGGAAAATTAATCAAACAGACAAATGCACAAAACTCACAAAGGAAGTATTGCACAATGCCACCCAAACATACGAAACATCATGACCCACTTACATCAATTATTGGAGGCTGACCCTTGAGACCAACTTTAAGATGGTTCTTTTTTATTTCACATACAACAAACCTCGATTTTGTTCCAGAAGGTACAAGGACATTAACAGTGACCTCTTGCAGAGATTGGCCCCAAGAATACTTCTCCAGATCAAGGCCATTGCCCTTATTGGGAGCTGCCAAGATTTTTTTGGGTTAAATAAGAATCAAATTGTTGACAACTAGCTATTACACAAGAAAAATAAACTGTGAACAAGCAGTCCCGCTTATAACATAATAGTCTAAACTATATATGATCCTACCAATAAATCACAAATAGATTGCTATCCCGCCAAGATGCAAAAATGAGGAATTCCTTATAAATCCTTCATGATCGAAGCTGGCAAGAAGCTAGTAAAAATTAATTCGATCCCATAAACCTTCCACCACTTCGCATCTATCAGCAAATATCTGGCAGATTTCCTACTAAATTGACCCACATGGTAGCAAGAAGTGCAGAATTCCACAAGGTAGTCCTTTTGTTATTCCTCCCAAAACCTCTAAATTCCTCAACAAACATATAAGAGGAAGATCAATCCTCGCCAACTCAAACCTGCTATCTTATACAATTTATTCCACAGACATAGCAATTCCAAATTACGCTCAAAAACAGACAAGTGCAATTGGGCCAATTTTCAGTCTAAGGAAGAAAAACCTCGGGTGTCCTTTCTATTTTGACATAGGCATAGCAAGAGTAAATTCACCTTGTTCTCTTCATCGGCAATGAACGAGAGCAAAACCGAACCATAGCAGACATCTTATATTGTATAAATACAACAAAAATTAGGATATATATACATATTGAGGTACATAAACAAAAAAAAATACAGTAAAAAGGCGTCGAGATTAAAGAGGAAAACCTCGATGCGCTTTCTTCTCGTCATCCTTCGCGTCAGTCATCCTGGCATCCTCCTCCTTTGGCACCTTCACCCCCACCGGTGGCGCGGCCTCCACCTTGACTTTTCTCTCAGCCTTGACATTCCCCTCAATTTTCTCTTTTTCCTTCCTCTCCTGAGCCTCCACCTTCTCCTTGACTGTACGAAGCAGCGCATTCACATCCGTAACCACCGAATCACTCTTAAAAAGATCGCTTTCACGAGCTAGGAACTCAAAAGCCCTTTCAAGAAACCCTAGTGCGTTTGATGGGTCAAGAACGGCGCTAAATGGCTTAGTTGTTGCCGACGATGATGAGGGTTTCGTCGTCGGCTTGTGAACTTTTTCTTCTTCGTAATCAGAGAGTATAGCCATGGCCAGAGAGAGAGAGAGAGAGAGGGATCGGGAGAAAAAGGGCTTTTGGAGTTATGGGCAGTACGTAGAGGCGGCAAAACTAGCCCTCTCTGGGAGTGATGATGGACTTTCTTTCCTTCAAAATTGGAAAGAGGTCGAAGGTGAGGTAATCTTAAAAAATAGACTTAAAACTTAGACTTGATAATCAACCATTGAATGGATAGTGGATCCTAATAAATGTTGGGACTTATAGTGAAATTAATGGTTAAGATTATCAAGTCTAATTTTTAAGTCTACTTTTTAAGTCTATGTAGCATTACTCAAACACAATTGGTAATCATTTACGCTCAGTCTTTGTGCAAAAAAAAAAAAAAACAATTTACAGTCTCGTTTAGAGCATCCCTGACAATAGACGTTAATTTAACTACTCAAACAGTAATATTTTTTAGTTTACTTTTTCACTTTTTTAATATATATTTTAACAGATTTTTTATATTTTTAATTATTTTTTTAAATATTATTTTTCATTTATTTTGTATTATTTTTTTAGAAATAGTGAAACAGAAGAGAGAGAATAGAGAAAAAGAAAGTAGGAGAGATAAAAAATTATAAATAATTTATATATATTACTGCAGTGGTATTCTAAATATAGAGTATCACTCTAGCGAAATATTATTTTACATGTTTTGGAGGTACTTTGCTGAAGTGAAATTTTAGGATAAAATAACTAAATTTTAAAGTTTTTGTGTATTTTACCTATTCTCTTGAAAATGCTCTTAGACTATGAATATATATAGGAATTTTTTAATTTTAACCAATTAATTTTATTACTAAATATAAATATTTTTTATTTAATTGTTATATTTTTTTTGATTAAATTACAGGTGCGAAGTTAAATGGAAGACAAGTTTCTACTTTACATGAAGCCAATTAAGATTGAATCTTTATTGCTCATGTTATGATATTAGTCAGAATGTTGTTATTATGAATTATGTTATATTATGTTGTAGACAAGCTTTTAACCTTATTAGTACTACTGATATTATTTTTGCTCAATTATGTAAGGATTATATTGTTAACTTAGTTCTTTATTTTTTGTTTTGATCATGTGTGATACAAATATACAATGATACAAATTATACTTTAATTGTTATGAGGTTTTTTTTTTCAATTTTTTCTTAAAATCACAAAAATTAATTGTAATAGAAAGAGACAAAGATGAAGGCAATGATGGTACGGGGGCGGGGGCCGAGAATTAAAATTTACCCATAAGATGGGGATGAAAATTAAAACTTTAGATGGACTATTTTTAAGCCAGTATGNATTGTAATAGAAAGAGACAAAGATGAAGGCAATGATGGTACGGGGGCGGGGGCCGAGGATTAAAATTTACTCATAAGATGGGTATGAAGATTAAAACTTTAGATGGACTATTTTTAAGCCAATATAAGAGTGGAAACTATTCTCCGCCTCCGCCCTAATTCGTTGTCATTCCTAATCGAGAATTTCAAAAGACATGTATAGTNAATTAAAACTTTAGATGGACTATTTTTAAGCCAGTATGAGAGTGGAAACTATTCTCCGCCTCCGCCCTAATTCGTTGTCATTCCTAATCGAGAATTTCAAAAGACATGTATAGTGGTCTCATATTAAAATTTAGAATGACAAAACCCCATCCATTGTTCATTTTTTTTTCCTTTGGGTATTGTTATTTCAAGCCCTTAAATATTTTTTTTTATCTCATTTAACTCTCTAATTTCAAACTATAAGGTTCACTCCGTTTACATCTCTCCATTAGTAATTAAGTTTATGTTGTATAATATTGTCCGCTTGGAGTTAGGCATGTACAACTTTAAAACGTGTTATATAATAAAGGTCCAAAGCTCACACTTATGTATTACTCTACATCCACTTCACTAGTCAATGTGAAATTGAGTCATTACAAAGTCTACCCCATTAATAACTAAGTCTACTCTATTTTTCTCCTCATCCATTATTCNACAACTTTAAAACGTGTTATATAATAAAGGTCCAAAGCTCACACTTATGTATTACTCTACATCCACTTCACTAGTCGATGTGAAATTGAGTCATTACAAAGTCTACCCCATTAATAACTAAGTCTACTCTATTTTTCTCCTCATCCATTATTCATTCTAAGTTTATAACTATAAGTAATGTTTTCCTCCGTCTCTGTTTCTTTTTCCTATCTCATCTCACACACATATTTGCATATATTTTTAACTTTATTACTTTTTTATTATATTTTTTAATGGTATCAATTGCATTTTAGATACGAGACACCTATAGATGTTATAGTTTATGTTTGCAACAGATATTTAGGAATAAATGGATAATTTGTTGAGTCAAATATAAAGTGGATTGATGTAATAGTGAAGAAAGACACAATGAAACTTTTAATTCGGTTATGTTATTGACATGTATTGTATTTTGGATTTTTAATATGCATTCTAAATAATAGTTTTTCATTCTTATTTTGAATGNTTAATGGTATCAATTGCATTTTAGATACGAGACACCTATAGATGTTATAGTTTATGTTTGCAACAGATATTTAGGAATAAATGGATAATTTGTTGAGTCAAATATAAAGTGGATTGATGTAATAGTGAAGAAAGACACAATGAAACTTTTAATTCGGTTATGTTATTGACATGTATTGTATTTTGGAATTTTAATATGCATTCTAAATAATAGTTTTTCATTCTTATTTTGAATTTTGGTTTGATATTTATTATGAATATTTCCAATAGATAATATTATGTTTGTATATAGGTGAATGCTATGAATTTTTGATTAACGGTTTGATTACTGATTAATGATTTAATTTTTTTATTATAATTTATGTATAAATAGGGTTAACTCAGTCATTATTATGGTGGGTATAGATAAGGTGAGTTCAATAGTTTAAAATTAAAAAATTAAAATGGGGTGAACAAATATATTTAAAGGGGTGAAAATAATCTCACCCTTTACCTTTTAACACCGAGCAAGTTTTTTCTTCTATGAGTGGAAAATTTTCCAAAAACAAAAAAGAAAAGAGTTTATTCTTTGTATCTCTAGTTGTCGAGGGTGGATCTTGATGGTGTCAAGAATTTACATTAAAAAATTACAATAATATTATTTAGACTTAATTTTATTGATTTAATTCATCATAAGCATTAAAATAATTATAAGTCTCAACTAATACTAGAATTTACTATCAATTTAATAACTATGAATAATTAAATCAAAAAATTATATCTAAATAATATTAATTTTTTATCTTATTATTTATCAATAACACTAAGGGCCCGTTTGTTTTGAGTATTAGAGTAGTATAAAGAAGTGGTATTAGAAAAATAGTACGTGANGTTTATTCTTTGTATCTCTAGTTGTCGAGGGTGGATCTTGATGGTGTCAAGAATTTATATTAAAAAATTACAATAATATTATTTAGACTTAATTTTATTGATTTAATTCATCATAAACATTAAAATAATTATAAGTCTCAACTAATACTAGAATTTACTATCAATTTAATAACTATGAATAATTAAATCAAAAAAATATATCTAAATAATATTAATTTTTTATCTTATTATTTATCAATAACACTAAGGGCCCGTTTGTTTTGAATATTAGAGTAGTATAAAGAAGTGGTATTAGAAAAATAGTACGTGGAACCCATTTTATACGTTGTTTGTTTAACATTTTATAGTCAGTACTATTTTTCGGGTCGTAATACCGATCTGTTATGAACAATAGTCATAATGCTTTGTAGAAGATCTTAATGAATATCACCTAAGAGGTGATATTATATTCTTAGTATAGGTATTATAAACTAAAAAGACCGAAATGTCCTTCGGTACAATTCTCATATAAAAATCTAGTCGCAATTTTTGAANATCTTATTATTTATCAATAACACTAAGGGCCCGTTTGTTTTGAATATTAGAGTAGTATAAAGAAGTGGTATTAGAAAAATAGTACGTGGAACCCATTTTATACGTTGTTTGTTTAACATTTTATAGTCAGTACTATTTTTCGGGTCGTAATACCGATCTGTTATGAACAATAGTCATAATGCTTTGTAGAAGATCTCAATGAATACCACCTAAGAGGTGGTATTATATTCTTGGTATAGATATTATAAACTAAAAAGACCGAAATGTCCTCCGGTACAATTCTCATATAAAAATCTAGTCGCAATTTTTAACTTTTTAAAGGTTAAAATTATATTTTACATTGATTAGCCACAATTGTTGATTTTTTTAAGTAGGTATTACATAGATAATATTTGTGATAAACAAATAAGGAGAATGATGAGATTATAGTTTAACACCGGGTATAATCTCAAAACAAACATCCCTAAGAGAATAACATGATATAACGGTTTAAATGCAGGAAAGAGAGGTCCCCAGGCAACCCATGGCCATGGTTAAACCTCATTTAGTAAATCAAAACTATGCGCATCTGCTTTCTTTCCAATCTCTTTCCTAGTAAAGTAGTTGGAAGAAGTTAGGTCCTTCACCGTAGATACGCACTCATGATTAGGAGCGTAAAATATGTCGGGTTAAATAATTATGCGTCGATTTAAGTGGGTCACAGGTAATAAATATATAAACTTATACATGATCTGTTTAATAAGTNATGCGTCGACTTAAATGGGTCACAGGTAATAAATATATAAACTCATACATGATCTGTTTAATAAGCAGGGGAAAAATTTCAACATGAATATGAACTGCTTAATAAACGGGTAACTCGACACGACTCGTTTAACCTGTTTAATTTTAATTTATTATTATATTTTTTGTGACTCACTTAATNAAGTAGTTGGAAGAAGTTAGGTCCTTCACCGTAGATACGCACTCATGATTAGGAGCGTAAAATATGTCGAGTTAAATAATTATGCGTCGACTTAAATGGGTCACAGGTAATAAATATATAAACTCATACATGATCTGTTTAATAAGCAGGGGAAAAATTTCAACATGAATATGAACTGCTTAATAAACGGGTAACTCGACACGACTCGTTTAACCTGTTTAATTTTAATTTATTATTATATTTTTTGTGACTCACTAAATTAAAAAAAAAAATTATGTGACTATCACTAATACATATATATTTTCTTTGGCTGTTATTAAAAAAAAATCTGTCTAATTTTTTTAAATAATTATTAATTTATTATTATATTAATTTTATTTAAACTAGTAAACAGGTGATAAACGGGTTAATATGACTCACCCGAAACACGACCCGTTTATTAAACATGTTAAATGAGTCAACCTGTTTATCGCCTAAATTCGTTAAAATCTTACTCAAATATGCTTAATTTGTGTCGATTCGTGTTGATTAATCTTGTCATGTCGGACTTTGACGGGACCTANTTATTAAAAAAAAATCTGTCTAATTTTTTTAAATAATTATTAATTTATTATTATATTATTTTTATTTAAATTAGTAAACAAGTGATAAACGGGTTAATATGACTCATCCGAAACACGACCCGTTTATTAAACATGTTAAATGAGTCAACCTGTTTATCGCCTTAACTCGTTAACTTCTCACTCAAACATGCTTAATTTGTGTTGATTCGTGTTGATTAATCTTGTCATGTCGGACTTTGACAGGGCCTGTTAATGATACATCTTCATATTTTATTAGACTTAGAAATTGGTGATGGTTCGTTGTAAGAATTATCTATTAAACTATCGTTCTTTTCAAATAAATATATTAAAATATAATATTTTTAAATTTATTTATCAAATTACGATATTTTTTAAAAACAGAAACAATAATTTCAATTTTATTAAATGCAAAGATAACAAAAACGGAGTGAATAACACCACTTTTAAATAAAAAACGTAAAGGTTTTCGCTCTCACCCTATAGAGATTGTCCTTGTCTCGAGTTGGATGGAGGTTCCCGATGAGGGTTTTATCCTTCTTTTGGTAAAGGTCTGGATTGTCTCTTTCGTTGTTATTATTGATCGGTGCATTTTGTGGTAAGTGTTTGCTTTTCTTCGTTTTCATTTGTACCCCTTTTTCCCGTTCCCTTTGTTTCTCTCCATCCTACCTCGTCTGCTGCGCCTTTGCGTCTCTGTTTTTCTTCGTTCTTTGATTTTTTATTTTCGTAATCATTACCCGAGTTCTGCTTCACTCAAGACCACTTTGCTGCTACAACGCGGCTATGGGAAAACCCCCAAACTCTGATTCAAACCCTACCCCACAGACAAGCATAACAACAAACCCTAACCCACAGACACGCATCACAATGAGCCTTACAAACCTTCCTGCTACTGCTCACCTAGAACCCTTATCTTCTCTTCGTTCACTAAAATCACCAAAACCCTCATCCACCACTAACCCATCGCATTCCCCAGAACACTTTTTGTCTGATATCCCTAACCCTGCCCCTGTGATCAACCTTCAATCTGATTCCCCCATAGCTTCCTATGTAACTCGGGTGTGTTTGGTGGGTAAGATTCTCTCTGACAAACAGCCCAATCGCAATGTTGTGAAGACGATACTCATGAAAGCTTGGAAGGCGGAAGGCCATATGGACATCAAAGATGGGGAGCAAGATACTTATATCTTTGAGTTTTATACAGATAGTGTGCGACGCAGAATTCTAGAGGCCTGTCCTTGGTCAGTGAAAGGAAAACTGTTGGTTCTAAAGGAGTGGGACTCTGATATGTTGGTTTCTGAAATGGAGTTTACGCGCTCTCCGTTCTGGATTCAAGCTCATGGCTTGCCACCAAAGATGATCACGGAGGAAAATGCCTATAGAATTGCCCACGAATTGGGGGAGCCAGTTGCAAATAGACAGTGTTATGTGCAGAGGAATCTGTGGCGAAATTATATCAGAACACGGGTAGTCGTTGATCTGCTGAAACCTTTATCTACCCACTTTTGCATGCCGAGGGCAACACTTCCAGCTCAAAAAATTGTCCTAAAGTTTGAGAGATTAAGCAATTTTTGTTATCATTGTGGGCGAGTGGGACACGAGCAACCGACATGTAGTTATGTGAATCAGGCAGTGCACAATGATCTGTATGGCCTCAGCTTAGAGCGGATGGTTGGGTAGATTTTTCACAAAGAAAATCAGAGGGGGCTGACGTCCAGCGACAATCACCACAGCTCGACCGCAAATGGGGGGGGGGAGCAATGCAGATAAATCAGCGAATGAGACCTGCTAATATCCACAATTCGAGTTTTGAATGGAGAATTGAGGAGGGAGAGTCACGAGCGCGCAGTCCAACAGTGATGAATGTCAAGCAGAAAGGAGTCATCCCAGGGCTGTTAGACCATAAGTCTCACAGTGGGAGTGGATATTCTAGCCTGGTCACTAATTGTTCCTTATCCATTCAGATCGAACGAATATTGGACAGTTGCATGGCTCAAGTTTTTCAGAGACTATCACTGAAACGGCAGATCCAAGAGGAGCAGATGGAGGGCCGCCCTACGAAAGTTACAAGGCGTGAGGATGGTATTCTCGAGGTATCCTCAAGTAACATACCAAGGGGGTCAGTGGATTTGGGGGGTACAAATCAAGCTTTGGAGTATAGGGGTGATGTTGCTTTCGATGCCAATGCAGAAGGTCCAGTGGCAAATAAAGGGAGTTTGGTGACGGTATTTGTAGCACCTACTAAAGGTCGCAGGGTCCGGAAGTTTGTGAGACAACATGCACTCATGAAGCATAAAACAAAAGGGGACAATCAGGTTCATGTAGCTAGCATCGACTGGTTAGAGGCGCAGCCCGAGATGGTTGAGGTGGCGGGCCTTACCATGCCCCCACCCCCCTCTATGAAAATTATTGCATGGAACTGTCAAGGATTGGGGAGTTCCTTGACAGTTCTAGCTTTACAGGACTTGTGTGCCAACAAAAACCCCAAATTCTTTGCCTTAGCGAAATGAAGATGAGTAGATTAAAGGTGGAAGGAATAAGGAGGAAGTTGCGGTTTGATGGAAAGGTTGTTGTGGAACCTCAGGGCATGTCTGGTGGTCTGTGTGTTATGTGGATGCGTGAGGTGCAATTGGTTATTGAAGGATGCAGTATGCACCAGATTGATATTACATTCCGGAGTAACGACTGGCGGGGGCCATGGCATATGTACTTTATTTATGGTCATCCTGACTATGACACTAGATGTTTGCAGTGGAGTAGGCTTAAAGCGTATGGCACCAGTTTGGTCCTTCCCTGGCTATGCAATGGAGACTTTAATGATATTCTTTCTATGAGGGAGAAAACAGGGGGCAGAGATCGAGATAGTAGAAAGATGAAGAGTTTTAGAGCTTTCATTGATGATACTCAGTTGATTGATCTGGAAAGTAAAGGTCGGGCAAGATCCTGCACGATAAAAAACGAGAACAGATCTCTCCCCTGGTAAACAGCGAGTGTGCCGGTTGGGTGGCCTAGCACACTGCTTGGAACAGCCTGCAAGGTACGATGATAACCTGGAACGGCAGCGGGAGATCCTGGGAAAGGAAGGACGATCCTGTGAGGCTGAAAGGAGTTCCTGGAACAAAGAAGAACAAGTTAGAAGGGCGCCGGAGTGTTTTCCAGCGTATCCCCTCCGACGGTCTAGTCAGTCTTTGAGTGAGAGAGAGGAAGGAGAAAATACTGAGAATGATCTATTGTAGTAGAGAGTTTGTCATTTCATCCCCGTTTTGCCTTTGCAAGGAGTATTTATACCTTAAAAGCTCATGATTGCTGTCAGTGTGATCAGTAGGTGATCATCAGGCACAGGTAGCGTGTGTATTGATTTGACGAGGAATGTCTTCTCTAATTGATTGCTCNATTTGATGAGGAATGTCTTCTCTAATTGACTGCTCGGGGTCCCGAGCAATCAATGCTGAGTTGTCGGGACGCCGACGGTACAATATGCTCCTTTCGGGAAGGATGCAATAAATGCTCTATAATAGGGGTATTTATTGCCTTTCATATCCGAACCTTACCGCATTAAATGTGGTCTCGTCAACAGAAGGGTGCAATTAATTGTTTGCTTTCCCAAAGCGCGTGTCAGCAACAACATGCGGTTTGTCTGTTTTTGATGTGATATCATATACCACGTGTCCATCACGTATTGGCTATGACTTATGTATTCCAGTATATTCTGACATTACTTGTGTAAGACGAGGCCATGATGAATAGTCTAGACTGGCATAGGCTGATGACCCGTATGTCAGTAGCTTTATCCTGGAGTAGAGGAAGCGTCCAGGACGGAGTAACTCTCGGCACCGAGGAACGGCTCACCCCGGGGACCGAGGGTGGTATGTTTCCGAGGTACATGGGTTACCGAGGACACGTGTTGTTGCATAATACACTGAATGCATGACCCTATATGAGAGGTACCTCGGGGGCGAGGACATTCGTTGCCGATGGTGCTTATATCCGAGCAACACTGTTCCAGAAAACCGAGGACACGTGTCTTCATCATAGGGCTTTTCAGAAGAGTCCCATCACCTGGGATAATCATAGAGAAGGCGAAACTAATATCTGAGAACGGCTGGATAAAGCACTTGTAAGTCCCGAATGGAGAGTAGTGTTTCCAGATGCAATGGTTTTTGTCCCACCAGCAATTGGGTCAGACCACTCCCCTTTAATTCTGGACGCTAATCCACAGTACATTAAAGCTAGGAAAATGTTTAGATTTGAGAGCTTTTGGACTGAAGAGGCAGAATGTCAAAAGGTGGTTGAACAAAGTTGGCATAACACTGTTCTAGGTTCCAAAATGTATCAACTAAGGGAAAAGCTTAGATTCTGTACTCATGAATTGCAAAGATGGAGTGTCAGTCATTTCAAGAACAATCGAAAGCAAATTGAGTTGAAGAAAGAAAGATTGATTGAATTACACAATGCTACGATTTCAGGACGCCAGCTTGCCGAAGTTCAGGCTCTAAAGGCGGAGATTGGAAGGTTATGGCAGCGAGAGGAACAGTACTGGGGTCAAAGATCAAGACTGAGATGGTAGCAATGGGGGGATAGAAATACAAAGTTTTTCCATGCAACCACAGTGCAGCGAAGAGATAGGAATAAAATTGTCATGCTGAAGGTGGGTGATAATGCCTGGATTGCAGAACAAGAGCAACTTGCTCAGGTTATTGGGAGGCACTTTCAGGAGGTTTTTGCTACTGAAGAACAATGGAATTTTTCCCCCGTTTTACAACATATTCAACAGTTGGTTACTGGGGATATGAATTCTACTCGTATTCGAATTCCTGAGATGGAGGAAGCAAAAAATGCAGTGTTCAGTCTTGGGGCATTGAAGGCTCCTAGGCCTGATGGTTTCTCTGGCATCTTCTATCAAAAGTATTGGGACATTGTTAACAGCGAGGTGGTTGGGGCAGTACAAGCTTTTTTCCATGCTGGGTTTATGTTAAGGGAGATTAATGAGACAAACATTATCCTTATTCCGAAAGTGCAACAGCCGGAGATGATTGGGGAGTACAAGCCTATTGCTTGCAGCAACTTTATCTACAAAGTCATCTCGAAGGTGATTACTACAAGACTCAAATCATATATAGCTCACCTCATTTCGCAGAATCAAAGTGCTTTTATAGGGGGCAGGCAAATTCAGGATAACATTATTGTGGCTCAAGAAGTTTTGCTCTCATTACGACAGTGGCGGCGGACCAGGAAATACCAGATGGTGGTTCAGCTGGATATGTCGAAAGCCTACAATAGGGTGGAATGGGATTTTTTGAGGGATTTATTATATAAGATGGGGTTTGATGCAAGGTGGATTAATCTGGTCACGCAATGTGTGACAACGGTTCGTTATAACATACTGCTGAATGGATCACAGGCTGTAAGGGTGCTACCGTCCAGAGGGTTACGGCAAGGGGATCCTTTATCCCCTTTTCTGTTCCTTCTGGTTTCTGATTGTCTGACCCAGTTAATGACTAGAGCAGTGGAAACAAATCAATTCACAGGTGTTCGCATCTCTAGGACTGGTCCAACCGGTTCCCATTTGTTGTTTGCGGCTGACTATATTTTTCTCCACAGCATCTTTGAGGGACTGCCAAGATCTGACTGATGTGCTGAATCACTACTGCTATGCTACTAGCCAGCTAATTAATCTGAACAAATCAGGTATTCATTTTAGCAAAAACACTCCGTTGCAGCTACAGCAGGATCTGGCTCACTTTATGGGGATGCCTCTCTTGCGAACCACTGGGAAGTATTTGGGTCTACCTACTTAATGGGGACGTTCTAAAAAACAGACTATGGCATGGTAGAAGGATAAAATCTTGACCAAGATTGCGGGATGGAAAGAGAGGTTTCTTAATCATGCAAGGAGGGAACTTTGATTAAGGCAGTGGTTCAAGCTATTCCAACTTATGCAATGGCTATCTTCAAATTCCCAATTTCACTCTGCCAAGAGATTTCTGCTGCAGTTTCAAGGTTTTGGTGGAGTAAATCAAATGGGGATCGAGGGATTCATTGGAAGAGATGAGAGGTGATAACACGAGGAAAACATCATGGAGGGTTGGGCTTTTGGGATTTGGAAATTTTTAATAAGGCAGTTTTAGCAAAGCAAGCTTGGCGATTGTCTCAAGATCCAGAATCCTTCTGGGGCAGGGTGCTAAAGACTACGTACTTCCTAAATTCTTCTCTATGGCAGGCTAAACCAAAGGCATACACAATTCATGGATTTGGAGAAGCTTACTTACAGGAAGGGATTTATTAGCAAACGGGATTTTTTTGGCAGGTGGAGAAAGGTGATTGCATTGATTGTTGGGCGGATCATTGGATTCCTGGATTTAGGAGTGTTATAAATCACACTCACAATGCCCTTCGAAAGGTGGATGAGCTTATCCAGTGTAGTCTGAGGTGCTGGAAGGCAGATGTGATTAGAGAGATTTTTTCACTTGAGATGGTCCCTGTGAGATCCCGTTTGTTATATAAATATAAATGATATTAACTTGCTAATATTTTTAAAATAATTAAAATGATGAGAGAAACTTCGAATCGTTGTTAAAGAATAATCGTGTAAGTTTAAAGTGCGAATGTATTGATTTTTTTGTCAAATTTAATTTTTGGAGGTGTTTAAGGGTGATAAGAATAGCTAAGTAAATATATTAGTGTTTTTAGGTCAAAATAATATTTACATTGAATCCGGAAGGTTCAAAAAACTTGTAATAAACGTTTAGCTCATATAGTGTTTTGGAGGGGGTAATATAGTAATTTTAGTGTTTCGGGTGTAAATTAATTTTAATTTTGAGATAAATCATAAAATTAAATATTTTTAGGTTAAAATAACATTAAAAATGAATTCGGAATGTCAAAAAACCTTAGGGTAGTCATATGGATCAAATTAGAATGTTAAGTGACACAACTATAATTTTAGAAAAAAAATTGATTTTTCAACCCATGAGCAGTAGAATTCGGAGCTGCTGTATTTAAAATACAGATTTTAACTCCTTTTCTTCCATTTTTTCTCACATCTCTCACTCAAAACCTGTTAGAACCCTAGGAGAAGACAAGAGAAAAGAGAAAGGGGAAGAAGAAGGTCTATAAAATTTGGAGTTTGCTTAAAAATCCTAGGAATTTGGTTTGAAATTCTTGATTTTTAGGTAGGATTTTTCTTTCTTTTGCATTTACATTATGCATATCATGTATTTTCTTTAGTTAAAGTTTATTATGTGGTTGATGACAAAATTCTTGTTATAAACTTTGATATAGTGTTGAATATACCATGGATTTATGAACTTACATGCATAAAAATGATTTTAGTTTGGTGGGTTTCAAACCCTTGTTTGATTTTAGTTTTGGGTATTTGATTAAACTTATAATTTGGGAGGTTTTGAAATATATTATGATCTTGTACAAAATATGACTTATTCTCTTGGAAATGAAAATGATTTTAGTGTTATAGGTTTAAAACTCTTATTTAATTTTAGTTATGAGTATTTGATAAAACTAATGATTTGAGGGTTTTTAAGTATGTTATGATTTTGTACATAATATAACTTATTCTCTTGAAAATAGAAATGTCCTAGTTTGATTTTAGTTATGGGTATTTGATTAAACCTATGATTTGGGGGTTTTGAAGTATGCTATTATTTGTACATAATATATGTGACTTATTTTCTCTTGGAAATGGTTGTGTTGTTTTGGAAATGAAACTTTTGAGATTTGAATTTACCACATGTTTGACAAAATGTCAAAGTTATGACATGTGTTTTCAAAAGAATTTATGGATATAGAAAATAATGATTTTTGAAAATGTATGTTCGATACTAACAGGCAGAGAGCGTTAGTAGACGGTTGAGGCCTATTGAGTGGGTTGCCAAGACTACTACTAGTTCTAAGGGGGATTGATTATGATAGTGATTTTTGGTGATGACTTATGTG